GTTGGTGTCATCAATCTTATGTCCCTACCACACCCACCAGTCGGGACATGTGAAATATAGAAAAACAGGAACTTGCACATTTTCAGCTCTGCAAAGATTTATATAGTAAACAGAGCATAGCACGTTCAGCTTAAGAAAAAAATTTAGTGCAGGCCTATATTCATGGTTCACATATGTGTGATTGCTCTTTATAATGAAGTGAAAACTGCTTAAGTTGTGGCCCACTACAGGCTTTCCATTAGTGTTAAAAAGTGCGGTAGAAAACATTATTGTGCTTGGAAGACGGGGACATAGGAAGGACAGACACAACAGAGCGCTAACTTTCAACTGATTTAATTCAAGAATCTCAGCGTAGAAACGGACTGTGTCACCGCACCACATCTCAACCAATCCGTGGCCCTGCCACGGACCGCAAGTACGCCAACTCCTTATCCGCCAAGTCAATTGACGCCACACTGACACAACTTGTGCCGGAACTATTTATAGTGTCAGCCTCCATAATCTCGCTAACAGTCCTATCTTTGTGCCTCTCAAGAGCAGTAGACGAAGCAAATAATGGTTTGCACCCGCAGTCATGACAGTGACACGACAGATCATGACTGCGAGTGCAAACCATTATTTGCTCAGTCTACTGTTCTTGCTAGGCACAAAGATATGACTGTTAGAGAGATTATGGAGGCTGATGCTATAAATAGTTCCGGCATGTGTTGTGTCAGTGTGGCGTCAATTGACTTGGCGAATAAGGAGTTGGCGTACTTGCGGTCCGTGGCAGGGCCACGGATTGGTTGAGATGTGGTGCGGTGACGCATTGTGTTTCTACGCTGAGGTTCTTGAATTAAATCAGTTGAAAGTTAGCACTCTGTGGTGTCTGTCCTTCCTATGTCCCCGTCTTCAAAGCACAATCATGTTTTCTAACGTAGTCAGCACTTGTTAAAAAGTGCTCTTGTGTTTTAAGCAGCTCGTACCAAATATTTTCTTGAAATACATTGGTTCATGGAAATTATTATGTAGATGTTGGCAGACAGTCATGGTGAGGCCAATCTTTAATGCCAAGTGGTCCACTTATTCAGAGTTAATTGAGTTTGTAAATATTGTAGGTCGCAAATTAAATTTTTATGGTACGCAATGAGCACAATCATCCGTAATGACTAGATCTACCTAGGGGAACTTCATACGTTTACTACGGCAAGATGGTTTCGAAAAACAAAGTATTTAGTTTATTCAACTCCTGCACTAACCTTGTCTTTAGAAACTTTTTATATTCTTTGCGATGCTGAGATAAGATTCTGGAAATAGTTTTTCTAGAACTACTCTAGATATTTCCAGTTCATCATTTTTCTCGCAAAGCATTCGAGAGAGCCAAACCCTGTAATGTACGGAGGGAACTCACAGAATGATGCAACTGACAGTTTGGAACATTCGGCACTGTAACAGTAATAATGACATGTCACTTATGTAATGCTCATTATCGCAGATCAAACTGCTTTTTCCGTCTACACTCATTTTCAGTAGACTCATTCAGCGAACTCCCACCTGAGACTGCAGCGCTGGGTTCTGCAAGGTAATTTGAATGAATATAGATGCAACAGGTTTCTTTGAGCGTGCATCTAACACACATTCTTCATATTGAATCTGCTAACTGTATTCATGACCATGTCCATAATTGTATCCACATTCCAGCTTATTTTTATTTTGACATTTGAGTTTTCTTCAGTACTTTTCTCAACATCTGTGCTTGCTGAGCCGTACTCAAGTCCATACATCTTGTCTTTCGCTATTACATTAATATATAAAACTGTTGATGCCAAGTGAGAATTCAAGGTACCGAATCTGTCGTGCGAGCTAATTAAGAACCAATAAAAAGCTCTACAAAGGAAATTTTGTTAAAGGATGCTGTATGAGCATTAGAATAGTACATGCCATGCTAAAAAAAAATACAAATTCTTGTTAGGTATGCGAGGATGACAGTGCTGTGCTGTTTCTGATGTGTCACAAAAAAAAAAAAAGAAATCAGTGCCATACAGTGTTCCTTATGGAAGTACAAACTGTTGAATTCGAAGCCCAGAAGTTTTATTCAAGAATGTTCCTCAATACAAATGTATTGAGAGATCTGAGCTACTGACTCATACATGACTATGTGGCAAACATTCATTTTCATGTGGATTATAGTTTACAAGGTCTAGTCTGCATTGATTTATTGCATTCATGCTGAAACTGGGAGGGGTTCTCTGGGTATGAATAAAGAGATAAACATTTCTTGAAATCAAAACATTTGAGAACGGACAAAAGGAAGGATCTGAGAACGGTATCTTAGATTCTCTTCTTTTTCTTACAGTATCTCTAATATTCACTTTATTTCACCTGATGCATTTAGTTTTTAGCGCAGCTCTTAGCACCCGTTTCCGCGTTTTGCGGCGTCGCTGTCGGCGTAACCGCCCAACTAAATTTGGCAGGAAATTGAATTAATGTTGTGGTCATGTGACGTTAATATTTCCGCTAAGTCTAGCTGAGAAACTGAAATTTTTTATGGATGACGTGTATGGTCATGCGACGTCATTTTCCCCGCTACTTTTAGCGGAAAAACTGCATTTGTGTTGAGGTCATGTGACATCAATTTCTGCGCTAAATTTAGGGGGAAACTTAACCAGCTAAATTTAGTGGGGAAATTTTCCCGCTAAATTCAGGGAAATTTCCCGCTAAATGGGAGGGAGCAGAAGAGGAGGAGGGGAGGGGGAGGAGGGGCATACCCTCCCATCCTCCTCTTCAAGATCTGTGCTCTAATTTCACGTTACAGAGAATTGTAAACGTCTCATATTTCATCTCATGTTTATTAAACTTTTATATTGCAGGTGCGCTCGCAGCACAAATCTGGGTTGTGCTGATCCTCTACGCACAAGTTAGGAACTCCTGAGTGGCAAGAGTGGGAGTTTGGTCTGACAGCTCAAGTGACACCATTGTTCAGTATTGAATTTTTAATAATCTTCTTTTGAGCAAAGTTAAGCTTCGCTGCATGCAGTTCTTGTAAAAATAAATACCTGCAACCAAATTTACCAGGTCACGACATTTCGCCTCTGCTCTTAGTGCTCTTGGTGAGCCTCGGATAAGAGCTTACTGGTGTGCAAACATCATGCTTGTTTGAAACCACTCACTGATGTAGAGACTCGCTGACATCCAGCATTCCAATGAAATGCTGGATGTCCACAAGTCTTTCTTGAACAATGCAAGCGGGGAAGGAACCATACAATCGTATCGTATTGGGGGACATTCTACAGAGTGTTTTTTTCTATGTTTTACAGATTTTTTTAAAAAAGCCGTAAAAGCTACATTTACACGGTCTGGCACGTGAGTTATATGGCCAGGGCGGCATAGTATAAAAGGCTAATTTGTAATGATCCGTCGGCTTATTACAGAGATGTGCCAGACTTCTTTCAGAAAACTAGATGGAGGTTCATTCTAGCGTAGTTTTATCCCGCGAATCTGAATATCCCGTTCGTTTTCCTCAAAGATATAACTAAACGTCAGAAAACACACAAAAACATCCTACCAACAGTGACATCGTAAGAAGACCTTTCGGCCGCCAAGCGTGTGTCGCTTAAGGGCCGCTCGTCCAATCGCAAGTTTTCTAGGTATATTCTCTGGCATTGGCACCAGTCGTGACACATTTTTCTGCCCTTTTAAAAAATAGCATGTGCGTGCATAGCTTTGATAGGCGCTGAAGATGCGTGAACAAAGATTTTGAAAGCTGCTCTTGTGACGTCGCTCTCTAGGGAAGTGCTTTCACAGCGCTTTAAAAATGACTATGCAGCCTCGATTAATTAAATTAGCAAATAATTTTGATATTTGAGATTCTGGAGGTCGAATGAAGAAGATTTAAGTGTTTTCTCAAATAGAAAACTGCTTCAGCCTCTCTCTAAGTATAGTATGTTCGTGAAATTTTTAATCAGTTAAAATAGACCCATGGTTCCAATTAGAAACTTGCTAAGCATCATCAAAACACACTAAATCAATTTTCTTTGTAAAGATATAAGACAAGAGTAGCATTTTATGGCGTTCTAAAAAAATGGTCAATTTGGACGCGTTTCCAGACTTCAGTTTCTTACCAGAGCGCATCTTTGCACCTGCGGTCCAGCTGCCCAGTGGCCACAGTGCGAAGCCGCCCCCTCGCCTCCCTCGTAGGATGAAGGGAAGCAAGGCGCACGTGTGTTGCGTGTCTAAGCCCCTGGGAAACAGAACCGTGGGCGCAGAGATGAGCTCTGATAAGAAACTGAAACCTAGAAACTCATCCGAATAAAGCTTTTTATAGAATGCATAAAACGCTACCCCTGCATTATATCCTTCTAAAAAAACTTGATTTTGTGGTTTTCAATGACTCAGCAAGTTTCTAATTGAAACCATATTTTCATTTTCACTAATTAAAAAGTTGATTAACAAATTGTATTTAATTATCTGACTGATCGTTACGACTAGGTCCCTATACTACGTACGCCTGGCCGTATAACTCGCCTGCACAAACCGCATTAATTTAGCTTTCACGACCTTTCTAAACATATATGTAAAGCTTAAAACTAAATCACCCTGTACAACAGTGAAAAGGCGAAACCAACATGCTGGAGCCATATGGCTCCACCATGCTGGTATCGCCTTTTTGCTGGTATAGGATGTCCCATATTACGTTATGCATGTATGGTTCCGTCCACCTCCATGGTTCCGCCTTAATCCACTACGCTGGTATAGGATGTCCCCTAATACGACACGCTTGTATGGTTCCGCCCACCTGTATCGTTCCGCCTTATTCCACTATACTGGAGCCGCCTTTTTCGCTTGTATAGGATGTCCCATATTACGGTTACGCTTGTATGAGCCTTTTCCGTCATCTTTCCATCATCGATATTTTCTAACAGGGCATGTGGCAGGGGCAACTTCCTGTGGCATTAAGATTAAAAGGTGATACAACATACATTTCGTAACGCACGTCTTTATTTTTGTCCGAGTGCACTGAATCATTTCAGAGTTTGCAATTTCTTCAGATGCACTGCAGCTTTTCTAGACCTCAACTGGTCAGTCTTCATTTGCACATAGTTCTTAAGTGATGTGTTGGCGGCTGCCCGCAGGATGTTGCTAAGCACTGTGTCAGGGTGGTGCCCATTGTTGCAAATGTCTAGGTCTTCGTTGTCCAAAAGCAGGTGCCTTGACAAACTTAGAAGCACCTCTCTTTGGTTGCCTTCAGCATGAAAGCGTGTGGCATTTTCTTTTAATGTGAGCTTTTCTAGCACAAGCTGCGTGTGCAAAACAGCGTTGATGACAACCGACTGAGGAAACTTGAGGCCACCTCTCGTGAGGTTTTCGATGAGGACGTTCCTGTCCAGTTGCAGTTCCCTTTCTTCCGTTACGAGGTTCAGCGCACATGCCTCACAGGGAATTTTCTTGAGCGCTGCATGCGCACAAAAGCCTGCTATGTATGTTATAGCTGGCAAACTGGGTTCTTTTTCTTTTAAGTCATCTTCTGTTATTTTGATGTTGTAGTCTTTCATCAGTTTGTCTGCATCACGAGTCACACCCGATGGCTTGCACAATTCTTGCATATCTGGGAAAACCAGCGAGTCCTGAAGCCTCAGTTTTGTCTCGGACTCAAATATCTGCTGGACCGAGATGTGGTAATTTGTCCCAGACAGGCGACGATAGCAGCCAAACCTGTCCTCTAGACTGTCCGTCTGGAATTTGCCTAGTAAAACATACTCAAAGTTTAGCTCCTCGAGGCAGTATCTCGTGACTTCAACAAGTGAGTACGATGTCAGTCGGAGCGCCGTGTGTGTGTCTGTTGTTAATGCCCCAGTATCCATTTTGACAGTGCCCCATATGTCAAGCCAGTTCACAAAATCATTGAGGAACTCCAACTGCATGTTTGTCAAAGCTCTGACTGGTTCTTGATTGGGGTCCCGAAGGCGCCTGCCTTTGCAAGGAGTCTGCATATTGACAATGCTCCACCACCGATGTACCACATCAATTAAGTCTGCGGTTTCTGAAGCATACGGCAAACCAAGTTGCCTTCCACGTGTTCTAAGGGCTTCCGCAACGAATGGACTCATCACCTTCAGGGCAAGTTTTACATTCTGGCGTTCAATGTTCGATGGATGTAACGCTTTGTACGTCAGCCCATAGCCAAATTTTGACAAATCTTGTTGCTCAGAAGCATGTAGATCACGGAGCGCCTTAAATGAGGCTCCTTTTATCTCCACCCGCGACTTAGTGCTTGAGAACTCTGGATAGAAAATGCAGGTGTCCGGATTTTTTTTATTGATCCGGTTGTTCCTGATACACTTCAACAGGTGTACAGTGTCTACAATGTAGAACAATGGTCGTGAGGCATCTGCTGGATGTGGGTACACTATATCTAGCTTCTTCTTTTTTGAAAACAAGGACATCACCTTTCTGTTTATTGCATTATTGTCTGTGATCACCGCAATCACAGTGAGCCCCGCTTCCTCAAGTCCTAGAATAACCTTTTGTACTACTTCATGCAACCGGCTCGCATCAATCCTAGCGACTGGCAAAATGTGGACCACATCTTTGTGCGCTGAAAGTAAGGACTGGGTCATGAAGACATGCGCAGTTTTCGCAGCTTCGGAAGTGTTTGATGCGGTTCCGGCAAGAGAGCCTCCTTTGTACTCAAAATACTCTAGAATGTGGATTTCATCCATCATTAATGTTACTACTTTTTCGTGTGGCTTTAGGAGGCCTGCCCTCTTCTTTATGTAACGCAGGAATCCTTCATCATTCTGCTCATTTGCTGGGGTTGCGTTGTATTTGCTGCAAAGCTTCATCACTGTGGACCTGTGAGGCAATGTTAGTTTCCCACTGCTACGAACAAATTTGTATGCATGAGGCGAGATAGTGTAAAATAAGCTTGAGAATACGAGAAGTTCCGTAGAATACCTGAAAGCTGTTCCTTTAAGCAGCAGGTGCAGTTGCTCCATCAGGAATGCGAGCGCTTCCGTTTTTTCTTGCGGCAAAAGTTCGTTGCTTGCGAGGTCGTCCAGAAGAGAAAAAAGTAACTCGACACAAGCTTTCAGTTTTTCGTCTTTTTCGCACACGTCTGGGGCTTTGAACTCTCGCACTCTGTCTAGAACACATTGAAGTTGTCGCATGTCGTCCAATGTCTCGGGAATGGTGACTTCATCAAAGCACAACGTCACTCGTCGCCAAGAGGCAGTCACTTTCATGGTGTCCGTAACAACGACGGAGCGTTCAACTTCCGGGTGTCCCATGCTGTCATCTATGTGCACAAACAGAACCGCCGATTTGGCTTTCTGTATCAGCCAGAAGTCTGCGACGTGAAGATCTGGAAGCCGTGAAAGGAACTGGTCGTAGGACGACACTCTGTTCTTTTGTCCCTCTTCCTTGTGTGCTGATAGTGAGAGCTGGATAGCTTCTTGTAGCCGCGTTGCCTCAACACGCTTCCTCTTGGCTTCCGGCTTTTCTCGAACTGGCGCACAGTCAGACAAGTAAGCAGGGCTATTGGGAAATATTGTGGGCACTGCATCTGGTGTCAACCGTGTAAGGCTCATGGGAGCTTCTATAGTTCTTCCATCCGAGTCAGTATACGAAGTGGTAGTCCTCAGGTACTCTTTCTTGAAATGTAGCTCACAGACCTGCAAATAACGGAAGGAGGGAGCGCTGTTTAAAGGAGGGACTGACAACTGAAATGCGTTGAGTGTATGTTCTCTAATGCATGCGAGAAAGTGTTGAGCAATCTGCTTTATTCAGCAGTGGTTTTGAAGAGAGTGCAGTCGAACTTCTTAAAACCAATTTTTTTTTAGCCTTTATTATCTAGGAGGCTGCCTGACTGGCGACCGGCATGCTCCAGACCATGTAGCAAGTAGTTACGGCGATTTCACGCCGAACAAGACAGACGCTGGCGTGAAAAGGTCCGATGACTTAAAAAAACAATGACGCTATTGAGCCACATATTTTCCTTAAAGGCAATCATAGCACCAAAAGAGGGTCTGCGATGCCGGTTAGCACCACATGCTGAAAATAAATATTTTGCAGTGCTACCACGCGATAACGTCGAAGCGCACGAAAGCGGCATGCTATAAAATAAAACCAACTGTTGTGCAGCTTATGAACTTTTTGAATAAAAAAACAAACAAACACCAAAACAGTTTTAGGGACTATCGACGGTCGAAGCGAAGGTCACGACCGACGATGCACTGCCTCGCGCAAGTGAGAAACAAAATTCCTCTCCGCTGTTGTTTCCAAAGCGGCATGACAGGCGTGTTAAAACAGACCCACGACTAAATCGTCCCCCCCCCCCTTTTCTCCCCTCGTTACTACTAAAAGCTTGAATTCTCTTAAACACACAATCTTACCTTGGGATCACGCAAGGTGGCGATCTCAATGTCGTCACGACGTACCGCACGTTCCCACTTCATTCTTCTGTCGTCGTCTTTCGGAAACGAGAAGACACGAACCTTCGGCCCGGTATCGTAATTCCCGCGACAGTTGGGAACACAGCAACGGCCCATCTTGTTTCGTAAACCAGCCAGTGCACAGAACCGACAAGGTCACAACTGCTCGCTCACATCGGAACCACAGTGCACATGGTTTCACGTAAACAGCGACCGAACGCGCACCGAACCGACAAGGTCACGACTGCTCGCTCACGTCGGAACCACAGTGCACATGGTTTCACGTAAACAGCGACCGAACGCGCACCGATCAAAAGAATGCTTGAAGATGACAGTTGTGACCGTTGACGCCGCTGCGCGACCGGCCGAGCGAGCGAAGTTAGCGACGGCGCCGTCAGCGGCATCTGCTGGGCAGGCGGCAAACGTAACGTCGCGAAATCGTCGGGCATGGTGCGGTGACGTCAGAGCATGGAAAAAAGCAAGCGCGCAGGCCTTGGAGTTCTAGTAGGCGTTGCATAGGCCCCCCTGGCGTCTTCCTGTATCTAGAACAAATTTCGGTACTCAGAGATACCGCTACCAATTACCGCTATTGTTAAACCTTCTTTTTTCTCATGGAATTGATATATACTCTGCAAACAGTCGTACAATACAAGAAATTTTGTAATATAAAATCACTATTTACGTTTCAGATAGCTCTAAATATGTGTACTTAGGTAGATGTTTTTTTTGCTGTTGTTGTTTTTTTGTGATTGTTATATACTGTGTTCTTTTTTTTGTATTCATGTCAGTTCCGCTGCTGCTTTGTATTGGGGCGCTGGGACTCGTCAAGCGACTACGTGCAGCTTTTTTTCCAGCGCCCTTGTCACGAATGTATTTTCGTGGCAGAAAATAAACTGATTTGATTTGATTTGATTTGAAATCTAGAGGAAATATTTACACGCTAAATATTTCCTCTAGTGGTGTCACACGTGAAAAACGCATTATGGAAAACGCCCCATATTGCCACACGCGGTTACTCCGACGCATACGCCGACGGCGACGCCGTTCAACCCGGAAATGGCCGCCTAATGGCTGCGCTCTAAAAAAATAATTTCAGAGAGCCGAATTTGAAGTTCCCGCCCGATCCGCGCAGTGCACTGACGTCAAAGATTGAGTCGTCCTGCAACTCGAGTGTCTCTCACACCTCCGTTTCATGTTCGCCGGCATCCCGCGATCAACCGCTCCGAGCGCTCCGCCTAACGCTGTGAGCTTCCGAATTATGTGAGGCAAAAGAGACAGTGGACTTTTGTGAGCGATGGTAGTGGCCATGTCGCGCCGGTTCTGCGTGAAAGGCAGCCTCGGCGGAGTCACAACCGAAACTTCGGTACGCAAACACCAAACCTAGTTGTTTTTACCGCGCTTGAGAATCGCATTTTAGAAGTCTGAGAGGTCGTCGGGCACCCGGAAAAGAGCACTTGGTCAGATTCAGCGGTCATCCTAAGGGTACATCTGTAGAGCGCCGCCATATTTTCCGAGGGAGGAGAAAAGCCACGAAGCGACTTCACTCCGGACCTCGATATTCGGTACTTCAAAAAGAAGTGCTTTTGTGTGTTATTTTTTTCGCTGAAAGACATGTTTTTGAAGTGCCGCTAATAAATATTATAGACGTATCGCTTACAAAGCTCTTAACTTTCCTAATCGATTAACACGGAAATAAGGAAGCGAGGAGTTTAAGAGCGGGAGAGAAGAACGGCCAAATATAAAAAGACGCGCGCGCACCAGGGAATTTTGTTTTTTCGGATTCTGATACTTTATTGCAGGGTTATGACAACAACTGCATCGTTTTTGTCAACAAAAAGAAATACGACATTCGGGGTGTCAGTGCCTTTTTATCTAAACTAAATATCTCTCTTTGCATAACATAATTGTCGCCAGAAAACTCTCGTTCTCACAACGGAAAAATGGTCTAGGAGTTTCGCGCATATATTGATTCATTTAAACTTTTGTTTCTTCCAAATCAATCACTGCATACAAGTTGCCAAAATTACACTTTATAGTGCAGAATAGGAAATATTGAAAGTTTAAGGACTGCACCCATTCAAAAGCATTTTGTAAGTAATGACCTTGATCTCTTCCATGTGATATATTGTTTCTGTGCTTTGTTAAATTGTTGCTTGTAATATTTTTAAATTTGCCTTTTTTTGTTGTACAGTTTCTTAGACTCGGAAGAGTCTCCAGTATTATCAAATAAATAAATATCGTTTAATTCGAAATATACGAATAACTCAAAAAAACTTTGGACAATAGCATGGGGAGTTGCCATTCGGTGTCACTAACGTTAATTCTCATACCCAGAAACAAAAAAAACTATATTACATCCATTTCGGGTTCTGTAATATCATACAAAAAACTCCTAGACACGAAAAAGAAATAAATCCAACAAAGAAACATCTGGAAACGCAGCTGATATTTTATTTCAAAAACAATGGTAGGGGAAAAAATTATATTAAGTACAGGAATACACGCACGAAAGAGTGCTGACTCGCAACTGATGTTTAGTGAAGAAACAAAGGAATATAGCAGAAGTTCAACGTAGTATATGAAATCAAAACAAACGACGAAAGAACGCAAGAATATCTATTCAAATTTCAAGATTAATAAATAAAAAAGCTGTATTTAAAATCATAGGCGTAGACTACGGGGCGGGGGGGGGGGGGGGGGGGGGGGGGGCAGGCATCGGGGCTCGTGCCTTCCTGGTAAACTCCAAGCCCGGGTCATGATCCTTACCGAGACGCTGTTTACGTGCCATGTAACGAGCTTCTAGTAGTGGCACGTAAACAAAATAACGCCCACTTTCCCTTTATTGACAAAATACGTGGGAAATTGAATACCAGCGTGTCTTTCGTTAGCTTCATTCTAGATAAATTTCCCATATTGTTACTTTTTTTTGTTACTTTTTTTAACCTGAGACTGGGGCAGAAGGCAGAAACAAATGTTTCCTCCTGCTGCTCCAGTCTCGGGTTGAAAGACATCACCGTAAATTTCCACCAGTCCGACTGCACACTAAGCTCCTTTTTGCAGTTGCCACAGTCGAAATAAAATACTGCTCTTTTCTTACACCCCATCCCCCCCCCCCCCCCCCCCCTTGGTCAGCGTGTCCCGCATTTCGCTAGCGGGAAGGTGGTCACCCTAAACCGCCCAGCTATATCAAGTATTGCGAAAGAGATACTCCAGCTTGCTGCTGGCCTCCCTTGCCTCCCGTCCTTGATGGATGGACGGATGGATGAATCCCGCTGAGCCCTTTGGATCGGGCGGTAGCTTTCTCCACCTAGCGATTTTGTTTTACCATTTAAGCTTAGAATATTTAAATGTGAAAACTATATTCACTCCGGAGTGCAAAGATAGTGAGGCTATAAAAATCCTTGTCATCAGTTAATAAGAAAAGACCTAGTTTTCTCTCGCTCTCTGCACACCGTTAATTCACTTAATCTTTGCTTGGTAATCTCTGCTGTCTTGAAATCCACTCTTTCTTCGCTGTCTCTAAAACCCTATGACTTTATTAAATCTATGTTGTCTTCGGTAGGCATAGGGTGAAGCCCTTTACAGTAGAGCATCAAGTGCTCAGCCGTCTGGTCCTCCTCTCCACAGCAGGGCACACTGTATCAGTTTCTTGGTATACTTCGGTCTGTATGCTCTGGTTCGCAGAACACGCGTCCTCGCCTCAAACAACAATGAGCTTCCCCTAGAATTGTCATAAATGCTTTCTTTGGCAATAACTGTTTTGCTTAATCTATACCCAAGTAGCACGGGGAGCCCGGCCGAAGGATGGCCATATCCCCATGGCCGAGCCTATTTTCATCGGCCATTGCCCGGCCAAAGAGGTCGGTGCCGACCTCGTTATGGTCCCTCGGCATAAGAAAGGCCCACCTGCCCGGGCTTTGCGAGGGCCGGGCCCCATGGCCGAGCACCCCCGGCTCGGGCATCGGCTGAGCACCAATGGCCGGGCACCGGCAGAAGACTAAGGGCCAAAGGCGGTATTGGGTCGGCCACCGAGCTGGCATGGTGGCATTGGCAGAACACCAGTGGCCGAGGGCGAATTTGGGTCGGCCACCAACCTGAGATCGTGGCACCGGCAGAACACCAGTGGCCGAGGGTGGATTTGGGTCGGCCACCAAGATGATATCGTGGCACCGGCAGAACACCAGTGGCCGAGGGTGGATTTGGGTCGGCCACCGAGATGATATCGTGGCACCGGCAGAACACCAGTGGCCGAGGGCGGATTTGGGTCGGCCACCGAGATGATATTGATGGCACTGGCAAAACACCAGTGGCCGAGGACGGATTTGGGTCGGCCACCGAGATGATATTGATGGCACTGGCAAAACACCAGTGGCCGAGGGCGGATTTGGGTCGGCCACTGAGATGATATCGTGGCACTGGCAAAACACCAGTGGCCGAGGGCGGATTTGGGTCGGCCACAGAGATGATATCGTGGCACCAGGAGGACACCAGTGGCCGAGGGCGACTTTGGGTCGGCCACCGAGACAATATCGTGGCACCGGCAGGACGCCAGTGGCCGAGGGCAGCTTTTGGGTCGGCCACCGACCTGAGATCCTGGCACTTGCAGAACCCTAGTGGCCGAGGGCGGTTTTGGGTTGGCCACCAACCTGAGATTGTGGTACCAGCAGAACGCCATTGGCCGAGGGCGGCTTTCGGTCGGCCGCCGAGTTGACAGTGTGGCACCGGCAGGATGCCAGTGGCCGGCAATGGCATTGGGTTGACAGCCAAGCTGGTATGGTGTCCATAGAAAAAACTTGGCAAAGATGGTTAGGCCAATGACTCTCACTAGGAGCCACGCTCAAGGTCTGTTCATACTTGCAAGACGCAGTGGTTGCGTGACTGCATTTTGGTCACCAAGAGACGGTGGTAATTGCAAAAGCGACTGGTTTATAGTTGAAACCGCTCGCTTTTGCGACAAAAAAGCAGTCGCGCGACCACCAGAACTTGGAAGTGTGAATGCGCCTTTAGGGACTCCACTCCCCGAGTGTCTTGTGGCACCGCCAGAAGATTGAGTGAGACCGCTCCGCCATGAACCGCTTCAACATTTCTGGACGACGGAAAGCTGTCCTTGAAGTTCTAAGTAAAGCTCCAAATAATTTAAATACAATAATTTTAATCCACAAGG